ACGGCTATTTTCTGCGCGTTGCGTATATATAATATAGATGTGAAGGTGTGCGTTGTGGCGTGTGAGCGCGGTAGCCTTCTCTCGTGGACTGAGGAAATTATTCTTCGAAAACGGAAATGAAGTACTCCTGCCAAAACCTCGATAATACCTAAATCCAACCGGGGAACTTGATCTTACTCTTGGAATGCCTAGAGCAATGCGAATAGCGAGTGAAATATCTAGCTAGTGGAAGGTGGTCAGTCCGTTAGAAAGGCGCCAGTCCGTTGCTTCATCAGAATACAGAGTGTAGGATGTAGGAATGCACCAAAAATAGGCGTGAGATGATTGAAAGCGGTAATCGTTGAGTGTTCGCCGGGATATATGTCCATATGAGATTTAAAGGTAAGGTGGTGCATTGCTAAGATATGAGAAAAGAAAAATCGGCTTCCTCAATTATACACTGGGATTGGCAAGTCATTACGGCATTTACGCACGTCTGGTTGCATGGATCTGGCTTGCGAAGCACAAGAAGATTCAGGTAAGCCCCGATTCAAGTTGCCGTGGCGATGGTTCATTAGGGGTGGTGGAAGCCTGTTCCGTTGCGTTCTGGTTCCTCCTACCTGGAAGCCGGAATCGAGAAAAGGTTATAGGTGGGAAATTAATGGAAGGGAGTCGTGATCTCCATGTCGTTGAGCCATCTGCCGCGTTATTTGAAGAATTGGACCGCCCTCGACGAGATGAGTTTCGCAGTTCGTAAACAGGTCTCGGGAAACCGGGATATCGTTCATCGGGAGGAACTATGGTGATGAAGCGTCCTGGAAGTACGAGGCGCGACACGAACGGGTTGGCCCGGCCAGCGAAGAAAGCGCGCTCTGGTTCTGTAGGGTCATTATTTCGATTCAAATTGCGCCTGCTGCGACCAGAAGAGCTAGTCTGGTTTCCTTCCGCACCCTCCGGGCGCGGTTTCGGAACGTAAAAATCAGCTTTGCATAGAGGGCAACATGCGCGTCGGCTTGTCAACCAAGGGTCCAAGCAGGATGCATGGAACGCATGACCACAGCTGAGACCACGGACGTCGTCGTCGTCTTCAATCGTATCAAGACAGATGGCGCAGGTATCCCCAGGGTTCGCAAGTAGTTCGGCAGGGACAGCGTTACGGATGTGTTCATCGGCGTCATCGTCGTCCTCCATGGATCCTGATGTTTCTTTTAAATGTTCGGTTGAGGGCCTGCTTTCCACCCTAGAAGCAATGGTTTCCTTCTGCACAGCAGGCAGAATTACGCCTTCCGGCTCTGTTTGTGGATTTGGCTCATTTGATGATTCGGCATTTGTGGTCGGATAACTCTGGACGATAGTTTCTTGGTTTTCTGCGGATGAGAGTATGATGCTTCCCCCTTCATTCTTCAAACTCTGCGGTCTACTAGTTGGCGCCTGTATGCCCCCAGCAGTTGGAAGCCCTTCATCCGCACGGGTTGCCCGCCAGGTTTTGTACTTCATCAAAGGAAAGCGGGCATTGACATCGTCCATGCTCATAAGCTTCTTTTCGCGCCGTCTCCGATGGGTTCTTGGAACGGTAACCAGATCAATGGGGTCGCCATTCTCTTCGTTTCGTATTTGTCTGTTGCGCTGATTGTACCTGAAGCAGTATTTTACGCCAACGATAATCCTACCAAGACATTCCGAATTAGACTTAACAATATCGCTTCTAGCACCGCCATGATTGATGAAGTCTTACCAGAGATTGGTGAAAACCACACCAAACCCCAACGCTACAAAGAATAGCAAAGGTGAACTCGTAGGACCCCCGGAACTGTTGTCCGAGGAACTGGTATTTGTCGGCTGTATGGGGAAGGTCCCCGCTTGAGTGCTTGTAGCCATGACTGCTGTGCCGATTACTGGGCGCGAGTATAGGCGAAATCAGATTCTGACTCCACACGGCGCATTACCATTCCTTGATCTCAGCAAACGTAGACAGCCATCCAACGGTATCTGTATGTTAACGCCAGTCCTTAACGAAGTAGAAGGTGCGGTCAAAGTTGTGCAGGTATGTAACCAAGCCAGATAATAAATAAATTTCAAGAGGGGATAGGGGAGACAGGCATATGTAGGCGGATCTCGCAGGAAGGTTCAAACGGAACCAGCCGTCAGAGGACAGCCAATTCCAGGTTACCTAGAACCAGATTTTATCAGCCCTATATATTTGTGGGTGTGTTGGGTGTGTGGAATCTAATGAGTGGCGTTGGGTTGAGGGCGGACGGCAGGCAAAGTTTGCAGAGTTGGGCGGTTCGTAATCGGGCGTACGGGGCAAGTCCAACGGAGGCGAACGACAGACGCAGACAGAGAAAAGGATAGAAAGACAGCGACAGTGATCAGACTGTCAAGGACGACAAGGATAGGGAGAGAAAGAGGATCTAAATCGAAAACAGTCGACGGCCGTGGGTGAGATTGTGTGGGATGAGATGGGATAGAGAGTTGGAGTGGAGGAGATGAAAGGTTGGTGGTTGGATGTGGATGTGGCCAGGTTAGGCTAGTACGAGTTGGCTCGTGCTGGGGTACGGTACATCGCCCATCTCCCACCACCCATACAAATGCATGTACTACGCTTTTTCATAGTTAGTGAGGCTGAAGTGCCGCCGCCGGACCCAACGGAGACTTGCCCCAGTATTATTATTAAGTTAATTACCCCAGTTGAACAACGGTTGGGATATCCGAGACTTCCCCCCGCAAGACACGGAGAGGTATGTACGGAGTACGGAGTATATCTATGTAACTATGTCTACGCAGTATGCTCAACCACCACTAGTTCTACCGAAACCGATCTCAAAGGGATGATGTCCTTACATTGCGATTATTGTTGACGGCCACGGCAACGTTCTCCTTCCCATTCATCCATTCGTACAGCCATTTCTGTTTTACTTCAGACTGACTATGATGAACTACTTCGCACCATGACAACTCAGAACTGTCTCAGCTCTGCCCTCCATCGTATTTTCAAAAAAAAGAGCTAGGTTGTCTTCCAGGACCGGCGGTATTTCACTTAACGAGTAAGGATTGCCTGAGTCAAACAATATTTCGAATCATTTGCCGTGAACAACAATCAGCTGCAAATGCACTGCACATACCAGCCGGCACTCTTCGCATATATCCTGTTTGACTCTGAATCCAAAAGCAAAGTTCATGGAAAACTGGCGGAATGGGTCCATTATTGTCCGGGAACTGTGCCGGCCGCGTATGCCTTAGCCCGGAATAGTGGTTGGTCACTGGTTAGAGACCCTGAAAAGGAGGGGTATTTTGGGGGCTGGTGTCCATAATCTTGGGAGGAGCAAAGCCCAGCCAAAAAATGGCGCAAAATGCGACTGCCAATAAATAATAATACGATGATCCTTGGTCGTTATCATGATCGCTGCTAAATATTTGGTTGTCTGTTCACGAGAAATTTCCTCCTTCTGGCGGGAAAAAAATAATACAGAAAGAAGAACTGTGTGATATTTATCAGGTATGGCACAGCCGTAGTTCCAAACTTCGAAGGCCGCTTCGCCTTCTCCCATAATAAAATGGTTCAGCTTTTCCACAGCCAAATGTTTGCCCTTCTTTGGTCGAACAAGCTGTTTGAAAGAAGTCAAACAATTCGTCAAGCTTCGTCCGAGCCACAAAGTAACAACATCATCGTCCGAGTTTAGCCTTTTTGATCTCAAATTCGGTTCATCATCCTTATTCATCGGAGCTCCATTTGTCTGTTGTGAGGGAGAAGTTCAAAGGTTTCTTTTAAGTTACCTAATCCCTCGGGGAGAGTCGGTGTAACTGAGCACGCCGTTGAATGCCATCAACTCCCCACCGGCCACAGCTCCGTTCGTTCCACCGCATACCGCTCTGTCGTCAAAGGTTATCTGCATCTTATGAATGAATGGAAGGACTAAAACAGGAAACAACAGCTAGGCTTTGATTAACCTTTTGCTGCATTTCACCTGACATTTCATGTAGTTATGGACAGGTAGGTTACCTGCCTTGGGAGCGGCAGATAGGAAAAGCTGTGAATTACCTGGCTGTAGCTGTCCGTCCGTTTGTCTGGTAACTAGTGAAGGAGAATCAAAAGCAAAGTTCTGCAAAGCTACAAGTACACAAATAATACAGTTCCTAGTACGGAGTAGTACGGAGTAGATGGAATCTAGTACGCGCCGCCTTCCTATCTAGGTTTAATCAGCAGAATTGTGGCATGACGCTAAGAAGATAGGGGCTTCTCTGTAATTTTGATTGTTGTATTATTGATTCTGTATACTCCGTACGGAGTACAATTATATATATTGTCTAACTAATCAATTCATATTTGTGTATGTAATATAAAGATTTAGTTAGGATCTAACCATATAAGGAAGGCCTTACGGCGCTAAAGCTTTCCGGATACTACGCAAGTAGGTTGTACTGCGTAAGGTACGGATCGGTGTGAAAACATCGCAGGAACAGACCCACTGCACTGCAGTGATAGTGGCTTATAGTGGCTTGCACTAAATACGCCCCAAAACGCCATTCTTACAAGATGCTAAACTGTATAGGGAAGGCCATGACTGACTGCGATTAGTTATGGGGGTGTCTACGCAGTAAGCCCGTGAACTCCGTAGACCGAGAAGGGGAATATGGGTGCAGATTATTATTGAGAATCAAGCATCAAAGCGAGAGGCCGCGAAACATATAACTAACGGTAAGTTAGCATTTAAAGGACAAAGCAGGGCAAACCGTCAAGCAAGAGGGGCTGGTTGCACCCAACTACGGAGCCCAACTCTGAAATCGATATCTGGTGATTAGCCTACCAAGGGTCTCTTCACAAGTTACCCTCGAAATTCGATATAAATTTAGCAAAGTTCGGGATAAAATGCAGACCCAATCTCGAAATTTCCTGAGTATTTATTAGTGTTCTAACTCGCCACTTTCGTTGATATTTTTGGAGAACACATCTCAACCGTGGTTTTGCCTCGAGGCTCCTTCCCCCATGCGAAAGCTTCGAAAAATATCAAAAAGTTTCTCGGTCCGATCCCTTCTGCATTTCACGTCTATTCGATTTTATATTACGAAGAGAGTCCGTCCTAAATACAAATATTAAGTACGCGGATTTGCTCACGGTTCTGACATACAACTACATACAACCTACATACACAGATCGCACGATACCATTCACTTAAAGTACTATTCACCTATGTAGTTGCTAGGGTGCTAACACAAAACAAGGAGAACAACGATGGTATATCAATTTGAAATGTCGAAGGGCCCAGGCATCACCCCAGATGCCGCATGGCTTAGATCCCATACTGGAGTACCATTTTCCTCCGGCGACATGTCCCTCCGCTCGACTGGCTGACATCAACGGAAGTTGACGTTTCATTGAATCCCTTCTTCTCTGCTAGGCATTTTCGGTGACAGGCCTGGAAGAAACCCATCAATCGTCAATGGTGCTGACTGCGTTTACCTAGCTTCCCGCGCAGCTAGGGGTACGCGGAGGTTCAGTTTTAAAAGATGCCCACGCCACTGTGGTGTGGATTGTAGCACTAGCGCAAAAATGCATGATTCCATGACCGAATGGTATGGTGATGGGATGATGGGAGATTTCCCGCAGCGCTCGAGAAGTCGAGACGGAAGTTGAAGGACCCCCAGTAAGTTTGCAGTTCGTTTCGACGAAGGTGTGGTCGTCCGGCCGGCTTCGTCGGATCCCTCAGCTGCTAAATTACGCGCGATGGGATTTAGACTTGGTTTGCGCCAAGCCATTACTTTAAGGAATACGAATTGGAGGAGTTCAAGCGTTTTGTGCTCGCAGTTTCGGTGCCAAATGATCTCGAAGGGTACTTGGTGCCTACACTACAACATTTTTTGCATAAGGTTGGTTTCGACATGGGGTAGTTCTCCTCCGCCGCTTCAAGGTTCATATAAAGGAAGAGGGAAAGAAATTTGTTAAAGATCACAGGTAAATCTAGATAGGATAGGTTATGAATGGTGTGAATATAGGAATAGATTCATAGTAATAACTATTGAACTTTTGTTATGTACTTGACTCCCGATGAAGAGAGCAACCCCGCGCCCTTTCCCGCGCAGTATCACACCGTGATACCATTCTCAGCTTAAATTGGAAGAGCACTGATCCTTAGTGCGTGGAAAAAACCTTCCATCGCAGAAAGGCCATCTGGTATGTAGCAGTGCAAGCTGCACAGCATCACAAAACTTATAAAAGAACACAGCTCAGACTTGCCTTTTAATGTTGCATCAAGCAAATTCACCGCAGAAAACACTATGTCTCAGCAAAGGCATGGGCCAAGGAGAGATATGGTTTTCTGTCCGCGAATAACTAGCCATCAGAAGTATCTGTTTATTGTCATCATCGCTGCGTTCATTTCCTGGTAGCCTCAATGTTGGAAGGCTTGTCAGAGGGACATGCGGCTTGGAGACAAATGGGTATAGATTTTCGGCACCCAATGATATGCTTTGGACTCGAACCACAAATGAGTACGGAATACTTCACGCTAGGATCTGAGTTCCCTTGCTTCGCCCGCTTTCCATCTTCGCGGTTCGAGATCCGAATTGTATCGCTCTCTTCTTTTCACGGGCAACATTTTCCATACCAAGTTTCCATGCGAGGAGCCGGAGAGATCTTTTCCCGGGCTCTAAGGACTGCTCCGCTCCTCCTAATTCTTCCATATTGCTAGGAACGCTAGCTAGACTTAAGGGCAACGCTCCAAATCCACATTTCTCCCAAACGGGGCAGGCAAGAGCCCAAGCTAAGAAGTCCTCGTCGAGATACGGATATCTGGCCTCACGGCCCCAGTGACAGATAACACGATCATCCCGTCCCAGGTTTCGTTTGCCCAGACGTCCAACATCCAAAGCAATTTCGTCCACAAGCCCCTGGAAGCCACGCCGGTTGAACGCAGTTGCATGTCTTGTATAACCCGCGAAAACCTCGTCGGCACCCAGTCCGGAGAGCAGAACCCGTGCAGTTGTTGTATACAGTATGCTAGCATGTTCGTCCGTATCGCTTGTGATTTCCCCTATCCCACGCGATGCAAAATAGAGGGCACAGGCAATGGAGAGATCCATCTCAGTGTTGTGGGGTCGCATCAAGCGTCTGATCTTTTCTCGATGATTTAACGTTTCTGCGTACGGAATGTTGATGGCAACAAACCGCCAGATCCTATCGGGGCATATATTTTGCAGCTCCATGTGGGATGATCGCCCCGTTATTCGATCTGGGCAGGCTTCATATATGGACAGTGGTGCAGTTGTTGGATTGGAAGATAAGGAAGCAGCCGCAGCTGCAACTCTAGGATTTTCAAATGCCACATTAAGAAGATCAATTGGCTCATCTATGGGAAGGATATCGTGTGCTAGTCTTGCGAGTATGGTGCAATCAAGGCCTCCCGAGAAAAGAACAGCTACTTTAGACCTATAATGTGATGAGTAAAGGGGAGGCTTTGGAATATTGCTTAGTCGAAGCTTTAGTGATTCACGAAGCTTGAGCTCCAATTTCTCTATGGATGGTGAGTTTGTTTGAAGCAGTGGAGGAATCCCGTTTATAAAGACAGATTTGTTCATGTGAGGTAAATGGTATACCTACACACAAGGATTAGTTGGTAAGGGTTTAGAGACCATTGTGGGGGGTAAACATACAATAAAATCCCCTTCTGAATCGGGAGTTATTTCGTTTCTCCAATTCAAAGTTTTTATGGTGAATATTGAACGCAATGCATCGGATGGGGTTTCGTTACAGCCAGTAGTTTGGAAAAGGGCAGCAAGGTCGATCATATGAATGCCATCAGCTTCGACTTCTTCGAAATGTTTGGACGAGGTCCCATCACAAATACTGGCAATTTTGAAACTTCCGGAACTGTCCCATCCACTCAGTAGTGCCCGTCTTCCTAGACGATCTCTTCCATAGAAGATCCTCTGGTGATATCCGTCGTAGAATACAAACGAAAATGGACCTGAAATGGCACCCACGGTGTGAGTTACCTTAATTAAACATTGACTCTCCGCGGTTTGAGACGGCAGTAAGCCATCTGGATATTTGGATGGCTGTATGGCCTTTAACAGCAATTGAAAAACAAACTGTGCATCATTCCCCTGAACTGGATTGTTATGGATTTTCCAAGCCTCCCCGTTCCAGCATAAGACCGACCGGCTGGCGGAGTCTACAAGGGGTTGAACCTGGAGATGATCCCCCCGAAGAGCCAGTACTGTTGAAATATAAGTTAGGTAGAGGGATGTAGGAACGTCTTCGAAGTCCTGCCCAGCTTCCTTCGGACGGTGTAAGTGAATAGTGTGCCTCTTAAAACTATCGGGACCTCTATTTTGCAGGAGCTGAGTCGTTTCCTCGTCAGGCGGTACGTATTCCCTTGCGCTCAAGGAGAAGAATATGCCGCACATCGCGCTCTGAGCTGCTTCCTGCGCCGTTGAGATATGATTTTTGCAACAGCAATATATATATATATGGTTTCTGGATGCCGATTTTTGCGGACGCTTGAATATAATCATGTGACCACTTAGCTAATACCTAGTTATATTCTGGTCGGTGCAACAATATTCCGAATTGAGGGACAAATCCGCATGACAGCATCAGAACCTCCCCGAATCGGACAATATTATATATATATATATACCTTGACTATCCGTAGACACAGAGGCTGTTCCAGAAATCCTGAGGCTAATAGGAACCGTGTCGAATATTCTCAGTCGAGAATACCTATCTCTCTACGAGAGCCTCAGCATGGGCGCTGCACCTTGAATTCACCCCTACGACTTGACCCAGCCAGGCTCCATGTGCAGCTTATGTCCTCCCCCGAGCCCCGAGAGTGCCTACCAGGAGGTAACGCCCCACGACAGCCAGAGAGTCAGCAACCTGGCTCTGATGTCGTAAGGGCGCAGACAGACCATTCAAAGGCAGACGGCTCAGAACCTAAGACACGTCCGTTTTCCGGCAGCTATGAACATACTCCCCCTGGATTCTCGGCCAGCACGATGAATGAAGCAGAACAGAAGGAAACTAATGATAACGACACTGAAATTGTCGGAATGGCACAGAGCTCAGCTACGCCTGACCCGCCTGGGGCTCAGGACGACCGTGTTGATATAAATATCCCCGTCCAAGAAATAGAGAGGCTGGCGGTTTCTTCTCGAGAAGCTGAGCGCACACGGCCATCGGCCCTAAAGACAGACATCGATTCGACTTCACCATCGCCCACTCAAGATGAAAAACCTTATCTAGACCCTACCCCGAAGACGCCACAGGTGCCACAATCACCTCTAGAAATATCAGCTGATTATACAGAAAAAGACCTGCCACAGGTGCCAGGAGGTGGTCCCTGCGACGAAGGCGTTGCCAAGCAGGCGCAAACCGAAGTACAGAAGGACGAAGATTCACAGTCAGAAATACAAAGTATTATGGACCAGTTTACAGATGACACGAAACATCTGGGACAAGGGGAACTTATGTCGCCTCGACTTGAATTGGCCGAACACTTCCTCCCTGGACAGGCACACTTCCCACCGCGCAAGTCAAGCTTGGAGCCCCTCGCTGCGCCAGGTGGTTCTGTTGAAACTTGTGTTTCCAATTCATGGAAATCGCGCCCAGGGTCCATCCAAAGCATTGGCTCCCACATAATCTCCGCACCCGCTGTACCTCCGAAGTCCCCCACAACCAACTCCCAAAGTCCTGCTGGGGCGGAGTTGGCTCCCTCTTCAAATTCCGCATCGCGCCCGCCTCCTCTTGAGCCAGAACCGGACCAGCCCTTCGATTTCCATCGTTTCCTTGAGCAACTCCGCCATCGGACTGCAGATCCTGTAGCAAAGTTCCTTCGGTCTTTTCTAACTGAGTTTGGAAAAAAGCAATGGATGGTTCATGAACAAGTGAAAATAATCAGCGATTTTCTCGCGTTCATTACAAACAAGATGGCGCAGTGTGAAGTTTGGAGGGAGGTATCTGACGTTGAATTTGACAACGCCAAAGAAGGAATGGAAAAGCTTGTTATGAACAGGTTGTATTCGCAAACGTTTTCGCCTGCCATACCACCGCCCCCTACTTCTTCTCGAAGTAGAAGCAGAGGTAGGAAGAAGGATTTGGATAGATACCTAGGGCCTGGGCGAAGGGGGCAACATCAGGAGGATGTTGAGCGCGATGAGATATTAGCCCAGAAAGTCCGTATTTATAGTTGGATACGAGAAGAGCACCTTGATATTCCTCCGGTTGGCCCTAACGGACGACGCTTCTTGGCTCTTGCGCAACAAGGTATGTACGGCACGGAACGTTGTTGGATAAGACTGTCCCTAACCAAATTTGATAGAGCTTTTGAAGATCAAGGGTTATCGTGCTCCCCGAGACAAGGTCATATGTGTTTTGAACTGCTGCAAAGTGATATTTGGTACGACACCGTGAATGCATTCGGCTCCTATTTCATCTCAAGCTGACAGTCCATAGGCTTGCTCCGGAACGCGCAAAGTGGAGATACATCGGCGGACTCGTTTGTTCCTCTCTTAATCTATGTCGTCTTAAAGGCAAATCCAGAACATCTAGTTTCAAATATACAATATATTCTTCGGTTCCGAAACCAAGATAAACTGGCTGGCGAAGCAGGCTATTACTTATCTTCATTGGTACGATTGGGTGGTATTTATTCCCAATACTATAATTTTTACTAACTATTCTATTCTTGTAGTCTGGTGCTATCCAGTTCATTGAAACACTTGATCGAACTAGCCTTACGATTAGCGACGAGGAATTTGAACGAAATGTTGAGGCTGCTGTATCCGCAATAGCAGAGCGGAATGAGGAAGCTGCAGGCCCTCCCGTCATGCAGCCAGAAAAATCAACACTAAGTGAACCTGAAGTGACACCACGGAATTCTACGGAAGGAGAGTCCTATTCGAGACGGAAAGACACCCATCAGTTTGGTAGCAGCGAAGAGAACGTAGCTGTAGCAGGGCTGTTACGCACAATCCAGAAACCTCTTACCACTATTGGGCGAATATTCTCTGAAGAATCACCACAGCCAGTCGCTCAACAACCGGTCCCCCCACCGAATCTTTTAAACACACAACGAACAAATGAAGCGCGGCGTTCAACCGAGAGACAGCGTGGGAGAGAAGACATCGCCCCACAGCAAAATAGCAAGCTCGATGCTCAAGAAGCCGCCGCTCGCCAGGCAAGCGCGGAGGCGGCTGAGGCGCGCCGGATACAGCGAGCAGAACATAACAATGTAGTCGAGTAAGTTGAAATATCTCGATGCATCTTTATTGCTCCCTACGTCTGCTAATGCGAATAAAAAGAACTTTATCGGGAATGTTCCCAAATCTGGACAAGGATCTCATCGACGATGTCGTGAGGATGAAAGAAGGCAGGTGAGTAGGAATCAACTCCTTGCTGGTTTCTGTGAGCGGAACTGACCTGTATGTTGTCTTGCTTTTAGAGTTGGTCTTGCTGTAGACGCTTGTCTGGCCCTGAGTGCGGAATAGATACCCCGGACGTTAAATATATTTATTATACAAACCCGACATTCTATTTGGTGTGTATCAACTTCAAAGTACGAAAGCACTGCGTTTTGCTTCCTATTTAGAGCAGCGGAGGCTGTTTAATTGAGAAATTAAAGAAGTTATGAATCATGTGCTCGACACTGGTTTTGCGCAACAAAGGAACATTCAGAAAGGGAACACCCCGATGGAATCAATACATATAAATTATAGGCAAAACTTTGAAAGATCCCGGGACAAGAATTCGCGCATTCCTTTTGTCCGCCACCACATTCCTGAACTTCCAAGCCCTGCTGAGATCTACACGCATGTTATGCCTTATCTGTAATATTCCGTTTATGGATGTCTCCGCCGTTATTCGTAAGCAGTAAAATAATTTGTAGAAGTAACTTTTCCTAACCTGTTGTGGTAGCTACTTGGTAAATATCGGCGGTCGCCAACATTGACGAAGACGTGATGTCGATATCAAAGCTAGAAGTATTTTTTTCGGCCAAACCCAAAAAAAAGTCAATATTGTTCCACTCCAACCAGGACGACCCATTGAATCGCCAGTCACCAGGTCTACGAGAAGACTTGGGCCAGCTTGCAAGTTGCACCGGCATGACTAGGAAAAAGAAGTCGCAGAATGGCTTGAGTGCGAAGGAAGAACTGGCTGGGAGCCCAAGGGACGACCACCCTGTCTCAACAGCGCTGTCACCACTACCAATTAATTCTGCAGCATCGAAGTCGCCGCCAGAACCATCTTCAAAAGACTCCAAGACAAAGACCACTAAACAGTCAACCTCCGCTCTGATAATATGCCGCAACAAGTATGCCGATTTCCCTGCTGAGTGTATTTTCTTTACCAATGTCCAATTCGCTTTGTAACCCATCTACTAAACTCCGCATAACTCTCCAAACCAGGCACTGGCGGTACATTTCCTCCTTTCACGGACCGTGGCTTCAGTTACCCCCAGAAGTCTTGGAGAGCCTTGCATATAGCAATTATGCATCCCCTCGCCCCCAGCCCATTGACCCCGCTGTGTTCTTTGACCTCGTAAAGATTCGCCGCTTGATTGAGGAAGCTACCGATCTGGCTGTCCGCGCAGCTAACGGAACTACATCGTCCGCCCTCAGCAACTCACTGAATGCTAGCAATGGGTTATTAAGTGGCGGAAGTAGCGCGGTGTTAGGTCTAGGCTTAGGAGGAGGAGGTGTTGGGACTGCCAAATTGAGCAAGGAGCGGAGACACCGGATGCGGGAGCACGCTACCCAGAAGCTCTCCCGAGCATACCATCTGGATGAAATTGCTGCCAGCGTCGCTACCATGCAGTCTGCTTCCGCGCTGGAAGAGGTGGCGAAGATGGTTCTCCAGCGCAATGAACATGACTCAGACGCTAAATACGTTCACTTTTTCCATGAGAAGATCCCTTCTCGATCTCTTGCACAGTGTACCACTCTACAACCCTTGGACGAGGTGATTGCAAGCAGGCCCCGTGAGGGAGCTGTTTACCGAACTAGAGCGGTTACGAGAGTTTTTAAGGATGATTTTGTGGGTGCTGCCAGAGACTTGACAGAAGGGCTAGGTGTTTGCCGACTCTACGCAACACAGCATGGGACCAGACAGGATCAGATGGAGCTTGCAAGCGAGAGCAGGAGGAGACTACCATTGCCCAGAGATTTCAGGTATGGCTTGAAGGTGGATGAGAAGGATCAACCAAGTAGCTTGGAACCTCAGCTCTTATTTCATCGTGGAGGGGTGTATCTAACGATCGCCTGCCAAAATATCAATTCTGCACTTGATGCATTAAAAAATTATCAAAAGGAACAAGCTTCAAACACAAATTCGGACGGAGAAGGTAGCAACACGCCCGCATTATCCCCTGTTGGGAAAGAAGCCTATCGACGATGGCTCGAAGCGCGGAAAATTGTCAAGACTAATGCTAGTCGTGCGCTGCGTGATTACGTGAAGTTTCTTTCCCACTTCGACTATACCCCCGGTTTACCGGCTGAAATTGCTGAAGAATTTCTCCGCAAAGTTAACATTACACCTGGGGGACACGACAGGTCAAGAGGCTCTCTTGCGCAAGCCAGCCACTTCCAAGAGACTGCGCACACGCCGGGTGTCGACACTAGTCCTCCGCTATCTCCGAGTTCTGAAGGCGGTGGGGGTGCTCAAGACCAGTATCTGCTTCCTCCTACGGACGTATACCCGCTATCCGTTCTGTTCTCCGAACAACCCCCGCTTAATCTTCCATCTTACCCCCCGGACTCTCAAGAATTGGTGCCTGCCCGAAGAAATGGGTTGGGAATATCGTCCGCCTACGATGATGCAGCTCTTCTCGCGAACTACGATTGTCATGAAGCTGTAACCTATCACCCATTGCTGACCGATGCACTCCATTCCCTCCTTCTCTGCCATGCTCTCGTTCAAACATCCCCCAAGGAACTTCTCCGTCACGCCCACATGGTTGCGCGTCTAGCCCGCGTCTGTGACGGCTACCCAATTTTCCTCGCACCTCGATCCCCAGCCCGAGCAGATTGGATCGAAGTACTTCACCGTGTCGACAACTGGATAGGTCTCAAGCAATCGTGGGAAGCGCTTTGCGCTCCCGCCCCACTTCCCGGCCACCCGGGCTCTGAAAAGAAGGAGGTGACCTCGGAGGAAGTGCGGGATCGTCGCAAACACGATGTGATCATTGAAGCGCTCGCGGACGACCGTGTTGAAGACGAAGAAAGCTTTCGTGCAGCGGTGCGGGCACGCGAGAAGAGAGCTGAGAGCTACCGGAGGGAAGGCGGCGGCATTAACCCGCAATTGGGACCAGCCATTAAACGCTGGGCACAGGAAGATGGTAAAGAGTATCCCATTAGCACTGAGCGGGCGGAGTGTATCTCACGCTGGATAAGGGAGGCACCGATATCCACAGGTGATGGGAAAGGAAAGGGCAAGAGACGCAAGGGTCGCGCTCCGATGGGTAAAGTCGTTGAGAGTCCCTCTCTTGAGGATAGTGTATATGAAATGAGCGTTGGAGAACATGGCGGTGTTGAATAGGGAATTTGTAGATGTCTAAAATTGGTTAACGGCAATTCTACTTGTCTGCAGTGCAAGAGTTTACAGACCGTTGTTTCCCATAATATACTGCCTCTATTTGGGATTCTGGACAATTCCATATTGATGTGCTAGGAGTAGAAGAAAAGTTATCAGCACTCAATAGGGGATGAATTCATATTAACCCGTGCTACCTGTTAAATGCCTTCTTCGAGTACCATTTGCCGCATGTGCTAGCCGATTAATTGTCTATCCTTTGTGAGATTTTGTTTAATAGGCCATCCCGGAGACTTCATCCCTTAAAGCTGTTCACGTGATTGGCTTGAAATAAGATTTCCAAGGCTGAGGTATAAAATCCAGCGGCCCTGCAAGGTAACTAAAGCATTGGCCGAGTTTCCCGATGACGTTGACCAAAACTCCACACCTAAATAACCAACAACAAGGGCTGCTAAACTCCTTAGCGGATCCTTGTAAGACTGGACAGGCAACTTTTCGAAGGCCATCCTCTGTGAATTGCCACAGAAAGCCACTATAAAAGACCACAATCTGCCACCTATCCTGTTGCGAAGGGAACCATTTTACCCTACATATTTTTCCAAACATAGAGAACTCAACCCAAATTTGCAATCTATCAAATAAAAACACAAACACTCCCACTACTCGCACCAATATGCCCATCCCGCTCAATACCTCGTCTTTAGGGGCTGGCACCAGATCCACGTCCTCTACCTCGCACCAGCAGCAGCAGCAATCGCAATCGCAATCGCCCCCACAACCGCAACAAGCACAGCCGGGTTCCACAACCACTGCAGATCCATCATCGCATACGACTGGACAATCAGGAAACGGACAACTGAGCAAGGAGGAAGCAGACCGATTGTTTGAGGAGCGCATGGAGGAGGAGTATGCGAAGCGAGAAGGAGGTGCCTGAAACGAACCTGGAAGAACAAGCAATATATTTGAATGTACAGCACATACATACATAGTGAGATGCACTTGGCACAGTTGATAACATCTTCTACACTCTGTTAGAAATTGAGTAAGCTCAGATTATGTGATATCACTTTCTAATCTAGTTAGTGTAGAAATGGTAGAAATGATTTAATGCCGCTATAAGTTGAATGCTGCTTTTTGAGCGGGGGACTCTTGAGTTTTACTGAGATAAAACTAGACTTTGATTCGTTTGAATATTCCTGACGCATAAAATCAAATGACTTACATTTATCGCTGTGCTGATTGGCTGGGGCTCTAACAAGGTTTGGAATTGGAAATTCTATGGAAGCTCAACCGAAGCTTTTGACGTTGGAGGATGGGACCACACGGGGAGGTGGCAAGGTATAAATGGCAGGGTAGACAAAGATAAAATGATGTTGAACGGGGGTAAGGAAGAAAAAACTCAAACTTGACACATCATCCAACCGCTCGTTGGCCGTCTCTTTTACTTAAGGCATCCTATACAATTCATCTCCTGATATCGTCCTTAGCTCTACGATATCGATAGTGCGCCACGCCCTCTTGATATAGACTTCCCACGCCTATTCTTCGACCCGATCTGCCTGCTCTCCGGTGATATGCCCTAAGGCGCCATCAATAACTTTAAGAGAGAACGTGCATGGCCCTTCTGCGCAACATATTTTCGTGGATGGCACCAAACAATGGTAGAACCACGTCGGGCGACGATCAGTTTTCGAAACACCGATCTTCAAGCCAGGATGCGAGTAAGTACCCCGTTATCCCCGTCCCCTCGTGCGCATGCCTTGATAACTCATGCGAGAATGAACGAATTTGTTTAGGAGAACCTCTGCTTCCCCGTACGCACGGAAGGTGTCAGCGACGCGCTGCAGGCGATCCCGACCCCGAGGCGCAAGACTGGCTGCAGTACCGAACTGTCCCCTGCACACGTACCAGAAGCAATGATTCGGACGAGAGTCAGGCTTCACGTAGCAGGGTAAATCCTAGAGTAATATCAGATGCAATATTGGGATTATCAGATGGCCTTACGGTGCCTTTCGCTTTGAGTGCTGGACTGTCAGCTTTCGGCAATACGAAAGTTGTAGTCCTGGGCAGCCTGGCAGAGCTCGTTGCTGGGGCCATCTCGATGGGGCTGGGCGGTTATGTGGGTGCGAGAAGCGAAATGTGAGCGTTTTTCAAATCAAAGGTTCCAGGTTCACGACTCGAAGCTGACCCGTTACCTTTCCTTTATTAGAGAATCATACGAGACAGCCAAGCGCGAGGTAACCGATCTTGTCTCTTCATGCTCTTGCGAGACAACGTCAATGGTTAGAGAAGTGTTTGCTCCCTATAGTCTTCCCGATCATCCGGTTTCAGAGATGAGTTCGACATTGCACAGCTCCCCCAAGCAGCTGATGGAATTCCTGCTGGCATTTTACCATAAACAACCTGAACCAGATCGCAACCAAGCTTATATCTCTGCAATCACACTTGCTATAGGGTACTTCGTTGGAGGATTTATACCGCTCATCCCATACATTATCTGCAATCAGGTTTTGACAGCGCTCAAGTATAGCGTAGGAGTTATGGCTGTTACGCTGTTGGTGTTTGGCTATATCAAAACGGGCATTGTGCGAGGGTGGAAGGGAAGAGACAATGTCGTAGCCGGTTTAAAGGGTGGAGTTCAGATGGTTTTGGTCGGAGGAGTGGCTGCGGGGGCAGCAGTTGCTTTGGTTCGACTGATTGATAATACAGAACATGGTGGATAGGTCAAAAGCCCCAGATGTTATTTTGGTTCCCCGACTGTCGTTACTCGTACTTGGATCTACCTACCTAGATACAGTTTCGAATTCACATTAGGACCAAAACCCGTGTCCATAGTGTGGGCTTATTTCGCATCCGTTTTGATTGATTGAAATTTTAGTATATTGGCGTCACTTGCAGTTTCTGTTGCACGGTTCTTGGTTCTTGGTAGTGGGCCTGCAAATGAACAATGCAGCATCTGTGCCCGAATCCAAATTCACAGAGATAGAGCTTTCGTAATGAGCTCCTTTGCGCGGTCCGACATTTCAATCTGCAAGGCTAATCCATGTCCCTTCGCTGACATTTTCGCCCAAGTTTTCCTTAGAATGCTCACAATCTTCTCCTCGTCATGTTCTTTCTCGAACTTCTCCAATTGGTCATCCAAAAATACGAGACATGCTACATCTTCCAAGGCCTGGCACTCCTCATCCTGCTTCATATTTTCTTTGCGAACCAATGAGGCAACGCGCCCCGCCTCCGCTGCATCATACCCGCAATCGAGGCAAATATCTTTGACAATATCAGCCTGCTGATTCTTCAGTGCATTCCTCCAAGCGAAGTAGCCCGGTCTGGTCATTGGGTAGGACGATCTGGGGACTTCCCAGCGGCGGAGATGCTGCGCGCGTACAGCCAGCTTGAGCATTTCGGACGCAGAAGAGGCGCGCTTTTCGAGGTACTTCGTCATTTTATTCGCATAGTGGAGCTCGTATGCGACTTCAGAACCGTCCACGGTGACGATTTTCGGATCCTCTCGATGAGCGTCATCAATGCGCGCAAGCGCCTGGTTAAATCTGGAGCTCATTGGAGGGTGATAACCGCTGGCTGGGAGGGAGAGAGAAAACACCGTTGAATGAGGTACACAATGCAATCAGGCTTCCCAATTCGTGCGCAATTTTTGTAGTTAAGAATAGCTTAGCTTGTGAGGGTAGGGTAGGATTGGTTCTGAAAGGTGACAGGAAAAATGCAATATCCTTTAGCTCGCTCCTAGGCAATCACTGTAGCAAGACAGAGAGCAAGCCAGGCAGAATGATTCTCAAGTCTTCACTCGCACCCTCTTCTCAGTTTCTTCTCCTCCTCCGCCGCTTGTTTCATAGTAGATATTTTCATCTAGTCACCTTGGCGGGAATTATGCTTAGTCATGGAGAAAAAAAAAGTGTCATCCAAGTTCCAAGTTAAGGTTTGGTTGCTTCGCGAAGAAATGACAAGAACAGGTTCAATCACTGGGTTGTCAATTATTTCTTGTTCGCTGATTGACATCCCTTCTGGCTATCTTTGTATATATCTGACTTCTGTTTCGCAATTATCCACTGAGCCAAAAATATGTCGGGGACGGATTCCCAAAGGTATCTGAGTACGCGGGGTTCCTCGTGCGGAGTGAGTAAAGCCCCAATTGTTGCAACCATTCTTCGTTTGTATTTACATTTCGATGATGCGTTCCGGTCCTTAGACTGACACGGAATTCCGCTTCCCACTAGCTATCGTTTGAAGATGTTGTCCTGAAAGGCCTTGCGTCAGATGGTGGATTGTTCATTCCAGAGGCCATCCCCCAACTGCCAGATGGTTGGGAGGAGAAATGGCGGGATTACACATTTCAGGAGCTGGCATTTGAGATTATGTCTCTATATATCTCCCCTTCGGAGATCCCTCCTGAAGACTTGAAGAATATCGTCAGCCGTAGCTATTCAACTTTCCGATCACCAGATATTACACCCCTCGTTACCCTCGATAAGCCGAAACAACTCTACCTTCTTGAACTGTTTTGCGGTCCGACTTTTGCATTCAAGGACGTTGCTCTGCAGTTCCTCGGAAACCTCTTCGAGTATTTCCTTGTACGGCGAAACCAGGGTAAGACTGGTAAGGACCGACATCACCTCGTCGTGATCGGAGCTACGAGTGGAGATACTGGTTCTGCCGCTATATACGGTCTGAGAGGAAAGGAAGATGCCTCTATATTCATTCTACACCCCAGGGGGAAAGTTTCCCCTATCCAAGAGGCTCAAATGACGACCGTCCTTGACCCCAATGTCCATAACCTTAGTGTAGAAGGTTCCTTCGATGACTGCCAAGATATGGTCAAGTCAATGTTTGCCGATCCAGAGATGAACGAGAAGTACAAGTTGGCGAGTGTGAATTCGATAAACTGGGCACGCATCCTCGCTCAAATGACTTATTACGTCCACTCCTATTTCTCCCTCGTCCGAAGTCCAACATATGTCAAAGGAAAGCCCGTACGGTTTGTCGTACCGTCAGGCAACTTCGGTGATATTCTTGTAAGCAGATTCCAAGAGTTTTTGAGGTCGATATATTATAGGTGTACATTTACTGTGAGGCTAACGAAGCACAGGCTGGCTGGTTTGCAAAACAAATGGGCCTTCCCGCAGAGAAACTAGTCATCGTGACAAACGAAAACGACATCCTGGACCGATTCTGGAAGACGGGCAAATACACCAAGAAGCCAGCCAAAAACGAGGCCACAGGCGCAGAGCCAAGCGGTGTTAAAGAAACCCTCAGCCCGGCCATGGATATCCTCGTTTCAAGCAATTTCGAACGACTCCTCTGGTTCCTTGCCCTTAAAGTTCATGGCGGAGACGGAGATATTCATCAACAGCGGCAAAAAGCTAGCGATATTGTTCGGGGATGGCTTGGCGATCTCAAAACTAAAGGTGGCTTCAGCGTTGAACCAACTGTTCTCGATGCCGCCAAAGACCATCTTGAATCAGAACGTGTCTCCGACTCAGACACCATCCAAACTATTCGCAACATCTACTCGTCCTGTTTCCCTTCGACTCCCGTCAGCAACGGAACGAGAGGTAAAGCTGGTGGATACATCCTTGACCCACACTCTGCCGTTGGAGTTGCTGCTTCACTTCGATCTATTGATCGCAACCCTGGCACACATCATATTTCCCTATCGACGGCACACCCAGCGAAGTTTGCTCATGCTGTTGATTTGGCACTAGCAGGCCAGGAGGGCTATCAGTTTGAGGACGTTCTTCCGCCGGAGTTTGTGGGGCTGGAGCAGAAAGAGCGCCGTGTGATTGAGGTCCCGGCCGGAGAAGGATGGAAGGCTGCGAGCAAAATCATCGACGCAATTGTTTCGGTGTAGATATTTGAGACACAACAACAGGCGAAGTGACTAGAGTAATCAATGCATGAGTGGGATGTACAGATCTTTTTTACTACATATACTAGTATTTACATAATAAATGTAGACCTTGCCATGACCTTTTAATGAGCAATCTATCCAACAACCCGAGAGAGTTTCACATAGCGCGTTTCGTGTCAGTTTCAACCCTCCCTCCAAACCCTAGGTAAGATTGATAGCGGCTTAACTAATTCGAGGTAAAACATATTGGTGGTCTAAAAAAGAATTGGTCTGAGCGCAAGCCAGGGCACAGCCGCCGGATAGGCGCTTATCTAACCTTATCAACATAACTAGTTAAGTCACAAATCGTTCGATGCGCACGTGCGGGTGTCGAGACCCGCCTCGAATGTGGTTTAAGAAAGGCTTGGATTGGTTGGTTAACTACCTGTTAGTACGGCAGTCTATAGTGACGAATGTGTCAAATAGCTTTTTTCAAAGTTTTTTCAGTGTAAAGGCTTAATTTCACATGTGACATAATATTGATTTTATAATCACGCACCAATTGCACTAGTTCTAATGTAGTATATTTCTATATATAGTTTAGTTAGTCTTGGCTTTCTGACTATGAGTCATCTCTTAATATATAACTCTGTAATTCTCTTAAACACTGTTACTGTAGAGCCTTCTCTCACTATAGCAATGAAGGCTCTCAGGTATATAACTAGATATAAATTTTCTCTGTGTATAGAGACTCTCTGAGTAGAGGCTCTCTGTGTATGAAGCTCTCAAGTATAGAAGCTCTCTGAGTAGAAGCTCTCTGTATATAGAACTCTCAAGTATAGAGTATAGAGGCTCTTGAATATAGATTTCTCTGAAGACTCTGAGTATATACACAGCATACACTGTGTAGAGACCGTCTTAAGTCAAGAGCCCTTCACTGATGTAGGTCATTATTTCATACAACCTTCAATGAGAAGATCTTGATTGCTAATACAATCAGTATCATTAATGTGTGCTCATTGTAACACTAGTATAAAATACCCATTTGACACATTTGTCACTATAGACTGCCGTACTAACCTGGTTCCTAAACCCCCTTTTCTGCCTCTTCCTTTTCAATGGCCTCTGCCAGCTCACCTAGGGTATTGAATCGCCATCCAAACGCAACTTTCTGATTCTCAGCTCCAATATATTCCGCAACATTCCCACCCATTCCATCTGCTCCTTCCCCTCTAGCAATCCATGCGCTGTGCATGCCAAATTTTTTCGCCGGCTCATGGTCGTGGAACAAGCTTTGCGCAACATGCAAGATATTCTCCTTCTCCGCTCCAAAATCTGATTTCAACCGCGACAACAGGTATTCAAAGTTTCGGTGGTCCGGCTTATAGGAGCCAATGTCCTGCGCGGTATAGACGGCATCAAAAAAGGGTTCTGCCTCCTTTAAGCCTTCATGAAGTCCGTTTAACGGACCGCGGAGCGTGTTCCGGAAAGAGGCGCGGTCCACATTCGATAAGGGCACAAGCTTGTAGTGCTTCTTTAATTTTCGCATCGCATCAACGGTGTCCGGGAATGCGGGCCAGGTTCCAATTCTAGCTCCAAATGCTGTGCCTTCTTTGTCTAGAAGCGAAGATGCGTCTTCCGTATTCGTGGCGGTTGGGAGAACTCGTAACTCTTTTGCGAGGGCTTCATACGAAGCTTTGAGGATCAAATCGTAAGACTGTTTTGGGTTCGCCAATTGGAAGATACGTTCATGTTTATTTAACGCACAACCAAGAGCAACATGGTCTGACTTTAGAGGATGTGAGTCTGGGAGACGGGCAACAAGTGGTTGAAGGGCCTGGATAATTCCCTTCTCCCAATCAATTAACGTCCCATAAATGTCGAAAGAAAGGACCGAAAATGAGGTTAAGGAGCGATTGGGCGCCATGATGAAGTTTGACTGAATATTAGGCAGCTTCGAGATACAGAGCTGGAAGCTTGGAATGACAGGGATTCCGGCTTTTTATATCTCGTTCCTCGTCGACTGCGGGGTCCAACAATGGGATAGGATAGTGGGGTGAAACATTAGCCTCCAATGATTAATTCTTTTCCGCCAAGACGCGCCCTTCAACATCAGTTTCATGTAGTATCTTCGCAGTTGTAGCAGATGCATCGGCTAAGACTTGACTGATAAGCTAATGATGAGAGGATCAGAGTTGACAATAATACGCTTATCGTTCTCATTCGGCTAAGGAACAATTCTGAACAAAAGCGGGGCGATTGGATCTTATATCATTAGGCCGATATTTGCGTTCTTCGCCGTTGGATATACGTACTGTACAATCGGACACAGATTCCCCACGCCAATGTGCACCATCGGTTCAAGGGCGATCCCAAAGTTGCGAATCACCACATGAGGCGAGAGCTCAGATTCATCATATTGCAAGCTTCGTTAGTTAGTTACATGTTACTCGTGCCTTTGCTTCCCCCACCGCCTCTGTGGTTGAGTGCGCTATTATCACCACAACATTACTTCTCCAAAATCTGTACCTTTTGTATAGGTTATTTATAAAACAGGACGAAACACGAGGGCCTTGAGTCCGTAGCTACCCCCTATATTATCATAAAGCCGCTCCATCCTATATTCCTGACGACACCGGCACCCATCCCCGTCCGGCACTTTCAACAATCTCAAATCTTTTGTTTCTTTCAGTCTTTAAATTGGTTTATAGATGTAGGGTGTCACTAGAGTGAGCTACAATCCCCCGTGGCTCGCAGAACGAGGGTATCAATACTAGAAGATGTGGTTCGGCTCAAATAGCGTTCTATCAAATTTTTCGGGGGTTTGTGAAGCTCGAACAAGGTATGTTGAAACTATGTGACAGCGATCTTCATGCTGCCATGAAATACTCCTGTTAAAGCGTAAATAGAGGAAGAAAATACAAGGAACATATAGTCCTCGTACCAGAATTCAAATCAGACAAGGAGACAATTCCCCCTTCTTTTCCAAATTTATAATAAAATGGCATTGTCAAACGGATAAACGAAGTTATCATAAAAAGTATAGATATATAGTTATCGGCCTCGAACAAAAGGCGCTATCATGCCCACAAATGGGCGCATAGTAAGCAAATCAAGGCATGCCCGGCATTGCAACCTCCGAATATGGGAGGCGTATACAACAAATAAGAGGGCAAGAGGGAACAGCCATCAGCCAGAAGACATGGGAATATAGAGAGGCGCATGTAAATAACAGGTAAGAAGCGAAAAGTCAGAAATCAAAGGAAAAAAAAAAGGGAAATGGAAGAAATGAAGAGAACAAATCATCGCCCCAATTGGCATTTCCTTCCATGCCAACCCATCCCAAAATAACGCCGGTTTGATCCAGGCGGGTATATCCAGCACCACCATGCAAATATCCAGTGGAGGAATTAGTAATAATGAACAAAAAAAATTGAGTTACAGCGAATTGAAAAACGCGCAGGAAATGGAAAAAGACATGAATCCCGAACGCCAATCATTTTTTGCGACAAAAACGCCGATACTTGAACCCATAAAACTTTTCCCCGTAAGCTCGAGAAATTCATGCTGTTCATTGTTAATGTCAAATCAATGTCATCGGGCACCGACGCCAAACATGCCGACACCATAGCTACCGCTTCGTTCAGAGAGGTTGGGAGATACTCCGGAAATATGGTCCTGTGCCCGGAAGATAGATTAGACGCGTACATTGAGCAATATAATGCATGCGCCACAGGAAAGTGTGAGGAATGCTAGCGCGGTACCTTTTTTCTTTTCTTCTTTCCCTGCCCTCTGCCGCCTTCCTCACTATTCGAGTACCGCCCGCTATCCAAGTCTACCTCGTCATCAGGGAATCCTTCGCCGTAACCCACAAAGCTGCTGTCGTTATAGCTGCGCTTTTTACCTGTGCGCTTTGGCCTTGTGTATTCCGTGGCTGGAGTGGATATCATTGAAGGAGTCCCATTGGTATGCACTGGCTGGCGGATACTTCCGGGCACGGTACCGGCAGCTTTAGCCATGGATGCGTCATTAGCTACCATAACCTTGGATGCTTTTTCATGACCTAGCGCGTCTTCCCAAATTTCATGGTTAGGTAAAACTCCTGGCTCCATTTTCATTGCCTTCAATTGCTGCCTGAAGAATGACGAGTCTGGTGCCGCGACTTTGATATCCTTTCCATAAACCTTCTGGTTTTGCCACTCCTCTTCTGGCCAGAGTGTCAAATATTTCAATCCGCCGGTTGCCCCAGGTTCAGCTTTAACAGGCTTGTTTCTTCCTGCTAGCCCAAGACCCTTGATTTTCCCTTCGTACGACTTTCTTAGCCTGTTAATCTTCTCACCCGTAACAGGGTCTGTGCGGGCAACTGAGGAAGCAACCGGGCCTAACCCATAGAGTGATATTAAATCTAGACTCGGATTCGGGCCAGATGCGGTATAAGCTAGCATTGGAAAGACGTGTTAACATCAATGATGCCCGAAAAGGAAAATTTGACAAACCAATTATTTTTTTTCTCTTTTAGATGGGGAAGTTTTGGGCTTGAAAGTCAGGCAAGACAGTGTCTTAGGGAGACCTTACAAGATTTGCAGAGATGGAAGGCAGTGCCTATATTCTGCCGGAGAGCTGATAGTTTAAGCTCTTCCTCCTGTGTGGATGAAGCAGCCCTGTGATCCAAATCCATTGTATTGTCATCCGGGATTTTATCGGCACCTCTCTTCTGCCGGTCATGATCGGTCCTTCTGTGTTCTGACGTATCGATATCCATCACATCTAATCCAACTTCCTTGCCCGTATATGATTCGCCATCCTTCCGTGAGTCTGTCGTACCATTTTTCGCAATACCTTCCGCTTCATCGATCGTGAGATTATTGACGAAATTGCCACCAGCACTACTAGCCGGCGTCGGAAAGGAGGTGGTCGACGTTACAGTGGGTTGCTGGGAGACCTGAGTAGACATAGCGACGGAGGAGGGCGGGGAGGAGAGCGAACCGAATTGGAAGGTCTGCGCCGGTGATGTACGAGTAGTGGAGAAGCTCGAGGCATAGTTTTGAGCGCTGACTGACATCAACGGAGGCGAGGTCGGAGTATGAGGTGTCTGATCCTTTGGGTGATTCTGTTGATACAGTTGATGCGGTTTGGTCCTGTCGGCTGCGGGAGAGGATGGTGATGAGGGAGGACCAGGGTGGACAGAGGATGGCGGCGGTGCGTGGGACATTAGGCCCAGGCGATACTAGATGGATCACAGTTTTCCCAGTAGCCCACAACGGCTGCTGTAATCCTTGCGCTAGACGCGTACTGGATCGATAGACGTAGGAGCGGATGAGGGAGGGCGGCGAAGGGGAAGGGTACGGGCGACGGATTCAAGGGCACTGAAGCGTAACCCAGGCTCAACTTCAGCGGCAGCCTATGGAGAACTCATGCCAGAATTTAGACAGCTTCGAACACCTAGTATACCGTGCCGCAACGAATGCAGGAGACGTGAGTGCGATATGGATGCCGGGCTGGGTGTGAGTTGACGCCCTTTGTTCGCGAAAGAGGAGAAAGCGAGCAAGCCACAGCGAAGTTGAGGTTGCTGGGGATGACGGCGAAGTTGAAGACAGTCACGTGGGCGACTGGGCTTGGCACCGGGTTAGGGCTTGGGAGGAGGTTTCGGAGGCTTGTCAACGACGGGGAAAAGCCGATGATGATGTGGGAGCCCTAGACTTCCTAGTACGGACTAGCGCCCCGCACCAACCATATTATAGCACCACTCTAGATAGCAACCAATACAACCACTCAGATTGTTCCAACAGGTTATGGTCGCCCGGATTGCTTGTTTTTTTTAATTTGCGGAACGAAGTGAAGCAATATGTTAGGTGCTTTAAAAACCTGATTAGAATAGAAGGTGCGATCTTTCAGGCCCCATTCTCTGATATAATTGGTTGAAAAAATGCACACCCCACGTGACCGCTCATAGAGGAAGCCGCAACTGTTGGCCGTTACGGCCGTTGCGGTTAGCGATCCCACTAGATCATGTGACCCATCACTATATTATGTTCTTATAGATAGATCTATCAATACAATCTTCAACTATTCTACAGATTATAGCTCAGATGACATGTTTTTCTTTTTAAAATATTATATCAACATTTTTAATATAGATAGTTTATTTTTTTTAAAAAGACTCTTACTTTTTATTAGAGATATTTCATTTTCTCTGAATCTGCTAATCAGTAGATTTATATACTTTATATTTTTAAGAAAGTATATTCTTCATTATAGAGAATATCACTTTTTTTTTATATATTTATAAGAAGCAGAGTTATCTTAATATAAGTGATACATCTATTACTTCAGAGTTCAGCTTAAGACTCAGAATTATATACTTCACTAGATAATTTATTAATAAAATAATTACTTACTATAAGAAGACTTCTGACTTATAAGATAAGACTGAGATTAGTTTTTATCAGAGTATGAAATTTGATGATGAGATAATAAAGAAACTTTAGAATAAAGAAAAGTAGAGTTAATATTCATTTATAGAATCTGTTCATTTTAACTTATTAAATTCTTCATTATTTCTTATCTCTGAAATACTGATTTTTAATAATGATCTGAATTAATCTATCTATTACACTGTAGATAATCTTATAGCCCCGGTGGCCGAATGGTTAATGCAGCCACCTGGTAGCGCCTTGGCGTGGGAAACCAAGGCGTGTGGGTTTGAAACCTGCAGGGAATACATTAAATCCGGAACTCAAGCACCTCAGGTTTCTAATAAATACAGAGGTGTACAAATCACTCCAATGAATCGCTCTATGTTCCTGGGCTGGGAAGTTATTATCGCATGTATCTAATTGTCACTCCTTTGTATTTTCCTATGTTCTTGTTATCTTGGCATGGTCTCAACACCTGTATTTCCTCCTGTATAATCAACACTTGACCTGTATTTAACATCACGCAAGGACTTATCATAAGCTCCGCTTGCATATGAGTATAATGAAAGAATAATAATAATAATAATAATAATAATAGATAATCTTATAAATCTTATATAGATAATACTATAGAATTAAATAACTATAGCTGAAATTACTTAATATCTCACTATATCTATCTTTGTATAAAGAGATACTATAAGAGATGAGTTATAGAAATATCAGAAGAAAGTTAAATATACATTAGATATTAAATCAGTGATTATATTTAATAACTTTAATTATAAAGTCTGATATATTAATATATTAACTAATGTAGAAATTATTAATAAAATTAATATTCTATTAAAAACTTAATAAGAATTCTCTTTTATATATTATATTAATTCTGAGAAGTGAAAGATTCATTTTAAGTCTCTATATAAATATATACTATCAAGTCTTATTAAAAATGTTTAAATTACTATTAAAATCTTGAAAACTGATAATACTATAACTCTGTGAGATAAGATTAATATTGAATATATAATATCACTGACTGAAGAATGAGTTAATATCTTCAAGAAATTAATAAAATTATAAGTTAAAAATAGTAACTATCTTACTTTTCAGAGATATTTTTATTATTTTATTATCTATTATAAGAAGCTCTGTCAGAGCACTGAAGATATATATTATAATCTTTTTCTTAACAATTTACAAGATTATCAAAGACTGTTTATTAAGATATATTTGAATGAGTTTTTCTTCACTAGTCAGAGACTTATTGTTAATATTGATATTAATAATTTAATGAAGTAACTGATTAATCATACATTTAAGAAGATTATTACTGAGTGAAAAAAGCAGTCTCAGACTGATTCTGTAACTGTAAAAAAGAATAAGAATAAAGATAAGAATAAAAGTATAACTGTATAAAAGTATACTCACTGTAGAAGATATAAATATACTATTAATAGATATTTTATCTTACACTCTGACAAGAAGAAAAAGAAGATGAATAAGAAGAATGATAATAAGAAGAAAGAGAAGAAAAATGACTTAATAAGTTCTTAATCAGTAGTAAATACAGTAATTATAAAGATTAAGTTCTATTTCTCTTTCACAGTCACTGAAAAATCATTCTCTAGATCTTGATATTTGAATATATATATAAGTCTGAATATAATGAGTGAGTTTTATTCTTTTTTAAATATTAAATCTTTTAATAATAACATCTCTGTTAATTCTGTAACTGAGAGAACTGAGTTTATTAAGAAGATTAAGACTGTTATCTTAAAGATTGAGAGTGATAATATTAACTTACAGAATATTCACTATATTTCTAATATTACAGTTAATCTGCTCTTATTTATAAAGCTTGAAAATCAGAGATTCTGATTTATATTATCTTTCACTATTCTCTTATTTTTCATTTACAGAGCTCTGAATAATGTTATCTTTTATACAGTTCAGACTGCTCAGAACAATATATATAAGATTAATAAATAAGAGTTTAATGAGAATCTCAATTATCTGAATAAGATAGTTAAGTATATTGCAATGATGCTTCATAAGTATAATTTTAACTGAAAAGTTGATCTTTCTGTGACTGCTACTACTACTGTTAATAACATTGATTCTGCAGTTCTGAATACAGGTCTCAAGAATACAAGAATATCAAAGACTCTTTTGAATTGATATTATAATCTCAGTTATATTTACACTAATACTATAATTGCTATGACTAAGAATTCTCATACTGAAGTCATAATTAAAGATTCTAAAACTAAGTTCTTTTATAAAGAATGTGTCAAGATAGATATAATATGAGATTATTTGAAAACATTAATATCTAGATCTATTTAACTCATTGACAAGATTTATATTAATCTTGTAAATAATGAATATACATTGAAAGATCTATCTAATCACTTCTTAAAGTTTTATCAGAAAATTAAATACTGAATACTTATTATCTGTGATGTAACTTGCTACTATTGAGTATATTTTTTGAAGTTTAAGAATGAGACTGTTCAATACTTTGAGTTATGACTCAGATTTATAAATAATCTCAGATATACAGTCTCTGCTTTTCTATGAACTGATATTAATAATGTTTTCTGATTCATATGTATACACACAGTTATGAATTTATATAATATCAAATGAGAATTAACAGTGTTATATTCATTACATCAGAATGACATTTCTGAACATGAAATCTGCACTATTATGAGACAGATTAGAGCTGCTCTTTTAAAAGATAATCTTTCTAAGAAGTTCTGAGCAGATGTTCTAGAGACAGTGATTATAATAATTAATAATACTCTTATATCTACAGTTCTTTACAACTTGAAATTTTAATTCTCTACTGTAAAGACTTCTATAATTCTAAGTTCATATAAGATTTCTTGATATACACTTACAAATACTCTGCTGAATGTGAGACATTTTCACTGATTAAGTGCAGAGGTTTTTATTCACTTACATGAATCTCAGAAGCCTGCAGATAAGCTTTCTTCATATACTGATTTTTATCATATTATTGAATTCAGTGATATATTAATATATCATCTATAACATTCTGAATCTGATAAGATTATTATCAGTAGTAATGTGAGGTTTCTGATCACTGAAAAAATCAGAACTGATTATTACATCTGTGACACTTATTAATTATATCAGTGAACTGAAATCTGATATTCATCTGATTGATGATGAAGATACTTCTGATATTAATAATTCAAATTCTACATGATTGCAGCCTGTAAAATCACTGACTACTTATACTTCAAGCTCTGTTACAGATAACCTTCTGAAGTTCTATAAGAATGTCACATCTCAGTTAGAAGAGATAGAAGATTATTGAAAGAAGTTTATACAATATGAGATTACTGATCTGAAGAGATACAATACATGAAGTTTAATCTTTAGATCTGATATTCTGAGAGATGAACTGATTACTCTGAGCTGTTAAGTATTTCTTAAGAAAGATAGATCTGCAGATCTGAATGCTAATTCTGATGATATTCTTAGAAAATTACATTAAGTGATTTGTGATAACTGACTTAAGAAGAATTTTAGAGAAGAGATCTACACTTCTATTATCACTGATACTATCAATTGTATTATTTTTATAATAGCAGCACTACACAGTTAAACACTATATTAAGTGAATATAGTGATAATATATCTTTATAAGCATCTCACTAAGAAGATCTATATAAGATAACTCACTGAATTTGAGACAGATTCACTGAAAATACTTATCTACATGATTGAGAGTAGTCTATGTCATCTGAACTCTGCAGTGAAGATCTGATATAATTACTTAATAACTTTACTAAGTGATCTTGAATTTGCAGTCAGTATCTATAATCTGACACTCTGATATTATACATTCAGATATCATCTCTATATAATAATCTATGTTAATAATCTTAACATTATATCTGAAGTTTCTGAGAATGCTGATTAACTAGTGAGTATACTCAGTAAGAAATTGAAAGTCAAGAATCTACATCAGCTAATCAAGTACTTGAGTATGAAAGTCAATTATTCAGATAAAGAAATTGATTTAATATATTATCAATATATTAAATATCTTGTTAAAGATTTCTATCTTGATAATACAGCTGTTATTAAAATATTAATGAAGAATGAATTCTGTATTAATAATTTCTCTATATCTGAGAAAGAGACTGATTTCATAATTCAGTAATATCAATATAATGTGAGTTACTTGCAATATCTTGCAGTTAAAACACATTCTGATATTACTTATACTATCTCACTACTCACTCAACAGAATATTGATTCAACATCTCAATATTAAAAGACTCTATTACACATTATACATTATTTGAAAGAGATTATGAATCTGAGCATTTTCTACAGACACAGTCTGTATAAGAGATCTGTTTCTACTAATTCTTCTGTTATCTCTGATTTCTCTGATGATTTCTATCTACTCTTTAGCTACTCAGATTCTGATTGAGCTGATCTCTTAAATAATGATAGAAAATCAACATCTGACTATGTTTTTAAGCTTACAAACAGCTTAATTTTATGACATTCAGCAAAGCAATCTTATGTATTTCTAAGTTTCAATGAGACTGAATATGTGACTCTTAGTGAGATAGTCTGTGAAGTAATATGAATTTAGAATCTTATAATTGAGCTTGACTTCATTACTACATCTCTGATATGAATTCTCACTGATAATGAAAGTGTTATAAATCTCACAAAGATGATAGTTATTACAGTCTGAAGTAAGCATATTAACACATATTTTCATTTTTTATATTAACAGTTGAATCAGAGAGTCATTGATTTAGAATACATTCTCATCACTTAGATAGTAATGAATGAACTCACTAAATCTCTAAATACTGTAATATTTACACAATTCATGATTTTGCTAGATCTTACAGGTATGAAAGTTGAGAATGTTTAATTTTACATTTGTATTTAGTTTTAACAGACTATCTTGATGATTTGAGTGTTTTTGTATATGATTCTTATTATCTTGAGAGAGAATGTTAACTGTTACAGCTGTTACAGTTAGTGATCTCACTAGATCACGTGACTCACCACTATATTATGTTCTTGTAGATAGATCTATTAATACAATCTTTAACTATTCTACAGCAACAGTCTGTATAAGTAGTCATCACTTATTAAGCAGGTAATTACAGTTTTAATTACTGCAATTGCTACTGTTACAATACAATAAAACACTCTTTATAGAAATGTAATATAATTTATCTCTGCAAAGATTTAATTCTTTATTTATAATTTATATTAATTTTATAAATCTTTTATTTTCTTCTTTATAAACACAGTTACAGATTTATACAGTTCTTATAATTAAAAAATTAAGTGTAAATATTTTTTTTAATAGTCTGTATAAATATAGCTGCAGATTTATACAATTTTTACAGTTAATTTAAACTATTATTATTATTATTATTATTCTTTCATTATACTCATATGCAAGCGGAGCTTATAATGAGTCCTTGTGTGATGTTAAATACAGATTAAGTGTTAATTATACAGGAGGAAATACAGGTGTTGAGACACATGCCAAGATAACAAGAACATAGGAAAATACAAAGAAGTGACAATTAGAAA